CTGGCTAGAACCTGGCTAGGCTGCTGATCAACTGACCGCCGTCTGCGTGTCATTTCTTCTTCGCCGACTCTGGCCTTCTCGCGGGGCCCGGGTCACCCCAAACCACGGAGAGAGCCCCCGGGAGGTGCGGCCGCACTACGGACCCCGGACCCCGCTGGGTCACTCGGACTTGTAACGTGTGGACTCACCGCCGCTGACTGCACCGCCTGCTGGCCCTGAGCTTGAGCGAGGGGGACCCGGCCCGGGTGACGCGGTGCCCGTTGGCGGAGCCCCGGGCCCTCCCGCCCTGGCCCGCCCTCCTGCACATGAAGTGATTCCGCGGTCGGGGACTGGATTGCGGTTCTCACGCCCCTGCTGTGGGGAGGGGGTGTTCAACCCAGGGCCTTCGGTCCTTCGGTGTCTTGCGAGTGTTCTGTGTATGCCCATATTCTGCTCTTCAGTTCATAAGTATACGTATACTGAGCGTGTCCACGTCTCCTCGCCCAACCTGAGGAGTCCTTTGGCACCATGTCCTGTGTGCATTATAAATTCGCTTCCACACTCAACTATGCCATCGTCACCTTTGATGGGCGGCACATCTCCCTCCGCGACCTAAAGACGCAGATTATGGGGAGAGAGAAGCTGAAAGCTGCCAAGTGCGACCTGCAGATCAGCAACGCGCAGACCGCGGAAGAATACACTGATGATAATGCTCTGATTCCTAAGAATACGTCTGTCATTGTTAGAAGAATTCCTATTGGAGGTGTGAAATCTACAAGCCAGACGGACGTTATACGTCGAACTGAACCAGTGATGGGAACTTCAAAAGTCACTGACGACTCTTCTGCACCTATGTCTCTGGCCCAGCTTACAAAGACTGCCAATCTGGCTGAAGCCAATGCTTCTGAAGAAGATAAAATTAAAGCCATGATGTGGCAGTCTGGCCGTGCATACGACCCCATCAATTACATGAAGAAGCCTCTAGGTCCACCACCTCCATCTTACACCTGTTTCCGCTGTGGTAGACCTGGCCATTATATTAAGAATTGCCCAACAAATGGGGACAAAAACTTCGAATCTCGTCCTAGGATTAAAAAGAGCACGGGAATCCCCAGAAGTTTCATGATGGAAGTGACAGATCCTACCATGAAAGGTGCAAAGCTCACCAGCACCGGGACATATGCAATACCGACTATAGAGGCAGAGGCATATGCAATTGGGAAGAAAGAAAAGCCACCTTTCTTCCCAGAGGAGCCCTCTTCGTCTTCTGGAAAGGACGACCCTATCCCAGACGAGTTGCTCTGTCTCATCTGCAAAGACATCGTGACTGATGCCGCTATCATTCCCTGCTGTGCGAACAGCTACTGTGATGAGTGTATAAGAACAGCGCTCTTGGAATCAGAGGACCATACATGCCCAACGTGTCATCAACATGATGTCTCTCCCGATGCTTTAGTTGCCAATAAAGCCTTGCGACAGGCTGTTAATAACTTCAAAAATGGAACTGGTGGTTATACAACAGGACTACGGAAACAGTTACCCCCACCACCACCGCTGATACCGCCTCGGAGACCACTCATTCAGCGGAATCTACAGCCTCTGATGACATCTCCAATATCAAGACAGCAAGATCCTCCGATGATTCCAGTGGCATCTTCATCAGGCCACCTGGCTCCCTCTATACCTTCAGTAACTTCTAATCAGTCTTCCTTAGGCCCTGCTGTGCCTGGAAATCCATCTACCCCAGTGCCTGTACCCGATGTAACTGCAACGGTCTCCATATCAGTCCACTCGGAAAAATCAGATGGGCCTTTCCGGGATTCCGATCATAAATTATTGCCGGCCGCAGCCCTCGCCTTCGAACATTCAAAGGGAACCTCTTCAATAGCAATGACTGCCCTTGTGGAGGAGAAAGGTTACCAGGTGCCTGTGCTCGGAAACACATCTTTGCTCGGACAGTCACCAACTGCTGGGTATAGCGTCCCTCCCCCCGGGTTCCCTGCAGCGCCAGCCAATTTATCCACACCTTGGGGATCATCAGGAGTGCAGACTGCTCACTCAGATACCATCCCAACAACACAAGCACCACTTCTGTCCAGGGAAGAATTCTACAGAGAGCAGCGACGGCTAAAAGAAGAGTCTCAATATCCCTACAGTGGTTCCGCATACTCCAGAAGTCCTTCTGCCAATTTAGCAACACCTTGGGGATCATCAGGAGTGCAGACTGCTCACTCAAATACCATCCCAACAGCACAAGCACCACTTCTGTCCAGGGAAGAATTCTACAGAGAGCAGCGACGGCTAAAAGAAGAGTCTCAATATCCCTACAGTGGTTCCGCATACTCCAGAAGTCCTTCTGCCAATTTAGCAACACCTTGGGGATCATCAGGAGTGCAGACTGCTCACTCAAATACCATCCCAACAGCACAAGCACCACTTCTGTCCAGGGAAGAATTCTATAGAGAGCAGCGACGGCTACAAGAAGAGACTAAGTCTAAATATCCCTATAGTGGTTCCTCATACTCCAGAAGTCCTTCTGCTTACGCTAAATCAAGACGTGGTTCAGGGCGCTCACGTTCTCATTCTCGATCACTTAGCCACTCACACTCTCGTTCCTATTCGCGATCACTGCCATGTCCCAGAAGAGGCAGAGGCAAGAGTCGAAATTACCGCCCAAGGTCTAGGTCTAGATCTCATGGATATCGTCGTCGATCTAGGTCAAGGTCACCACTATATAGGCGACATCCTTCGCGATCAAGGTCCCCTCAAGCATTTAGGGGACAGTCTCCAAATAAATGCACTGTACCACAAGGGGAAACAGAACGTGAATATTTTAAGAGATACAGAGATGTTCCACCACCCTATGACAGAAAAGCTTATGATGGGAGGAGTGTTGACTTTAGGGACCCATTTGTAAAAGAGCATTACCGAGAATGGGAGAGGAAATACAGGGAGTGGTACGAAAAACGCTACAAAGGTTATGCTGCTGGAGCACAGCCTCGACCGTCAGCAAATGGAGAGAACTTTTCTCCAGAGAGCTTTCTACCACTTCATATCAGGAATTCTCCCCTTACAAGGGGCCGCAGAGAAGATGATTCGGGTGGGAAACGTCGTAGAAGTGGAAGCATAGGTGGTAGCAACCATCCAGAAAAGCTTTCAACAAGAGACAGCCACGATCGGAAGGACAGTACAAAGTCAAAAGAGAAGGAGAGGGACAGTGCTGCAGGAGATGGTCCAGGAAGTAAACATAAGGAACTTCGAAGGCGGAAGAAAGTGAAGGCTTTCTCAACCCAGAGTTGTTGGAACCTTCTAGAAAATCAAGAGAACCTACAAGTCCAGTGATGAGATGCCTCCCAGGGCCTCCGGTTTGGGTGGGAGTGGCATTCCAGCTGCACCCCTTCCCCAACTCCAGGGCTGCACCTCCGGGGATGCTGGGCCTCTCCCACCACTGGGAGCTGACTGCCGGAGCAGGCCCAGCCTTGCCTTCTGCAGGGCTCCGTGCAGAACCCCTAAACCTAAACTTAACAACCCCACCCCTAACAACCCTCACCCTCACCCTAACCCGAACCTGACCTTGACCTGACCCTGACAATAAAGCTAACATTAACACTGAAAATGACCCTGATGCTG